CTCATCTCACTCTCCTGCTCGGCATCTTTTTGCACCAGTCTCGAGAACTTTAAAGAAAGACACAGAGAGACAAGACTTTAAATGTAATGTTTATGTGTTGGGGCTCAATACCACAGTTAAAGGTGGGGTAGGTCATTTTGGAGAAACCAGCAGCACGAGATAATTTGTGCACAGATGGAAGGCTGACAGGCAGGTAGCCCATCCAATTATTTTAGCAGGGCCGGCTAAAATGATTGGTCGTGCTTTTTACAGTACTACGGCTTCCACAGATGACATTTTTTTATGGATTTTTTGTTAAAGCACTTAAGATATTCATTGCTATCGGGATGTTAACAGCATTCCATGGAGTATAAAAAAAGGTGTATCTCGAGCCGGTTTCTCAAACTTACCTACCACACCTTTAATGCATGTCCCTGCTTGCATTGGTGTAAAGCAACAAAGTAGATTTACTTAAGAACTGTACTTAAGTAGAATTTTGAGGTACTTGTACTTTACTTGAGTATTTCAATTTCAGGCTACTTTGCATTGTAGTGGAGTAGAAATACAGAGGTAAATATTGCACTTTAACTGCACTACATTTCTGTAGTAGTAGCTTTAGTTACTTTGCAGATATGAATTAATGATACAAAAAATATGATCAATCACATAAAACTTAAAAACCTGGAGTAAAATGCTCAAGCTACCCTGCAGCAGACAAAGTAATTAAAACTAGCTGCACCTTTACCAGCTTGATAACACATTAATGTATCAACATTTATCATTAAAACATATAATGTATATGATTCGGAAATCTGCATAATGAGTTCTTATTGTTTTTGTACTTTATCTATATTTGTCATGCTAATACATTTGTACTTTTACTCAAGCACAATTTTGCATGACGAACTTTTACTTGTGCTTTGACACTGTAGTATTGCTACTTTTACTAAAGTAAATAAACAGAATACTTGTTCCACCTCTGCCTGCTTGACATTAAAGGCTGTATCACTGACCCAGTGCTTTTTTGTTAGCTATCTCTTTAGCAGTTACACATTGCCTAGCGTAACAATAGGCTATTTACATTTGAACAATGATGCAGAACAAAATGTTCCCCCCTATAGGCACTAAATAGCGGGATCTCAGAGAAGACCCCACCCTCTAACTGTAGCATAGCATTTACGTTTTTTTTTTTAAAGCTAGCTATACATCAAGCCTCCAGGAAGTGAGCCAGCCATTGAAGCAGATTTGTTTGAATCGTCTTAGTGGCCAAATGGTGATACTACAGCATCCGTTGCGTAGAAACTATTTTCCCCACTGACTTACATTGGGAAAGAGATGTCTGTATATCAGCGTATACGTTTTGAGGGGCTAAATGAACTCCGCAACACTAACAATTGTATAAACCTTATTTAAATCCTTCGAGTCGTACATTGCTCAAATGCGCTAAAAGCAGAATCGAGAGTTATGTTCTACCTCCATTAATTTGACTAAACAATGAGCGGGAGATCTCCAGTGCGCATGCTCTATGGGCAAAAGTACCCGGATGATCAGCCATATTTTGGGCTTCATGCGCCACTGAGCGACTTTCATAAGAATGAATGGTTTCCACTTCTCTTTAAACAGCCATGTAGCAAAAAGCATAGGGTATGCTAAGCTAGTCAACAACAGTCTGCAAATGTAACTCACATCATACATAACCTAGACATATTATGTAACTTCACAGCACGCACGCCATATTTTTTTAACACAAAGACCCGTAGACTTACGAAAGCGGATATGGACGGAAGGAGTGTTTTCATGAGGTTGACCAGAAAAACCGAGCCCAGCACAAGGAACCACGCATAGCTGGCCGCCATGTTTGTTTCTCCTCCTTGTTGCAGCTACAGAGGAGTTATATAACAGGCTAATTAGGTCATAATAATGAGCCCATACAAGGTTTTCTTGTTTGTTTTTTTGCCTAAACACTTCATAATCATTTGTGTTTATCATGAGAATTTCAGTATATTATTTCGTTTGTGATCTTTAGGCTGCAGTTGTTATACACTTCATTGTATAAAGGTTTGTCAGTATGCATGTGAATACTTGGCGTGCTTGGGTGATAGTGTATTATGCATGATCCTTTCAATCTTGTAGCTCATAACATGTTCATGTTTGTCGTGCATTTTTTCAAGTAATAAACACAAACACAGAGACAGACAGACAATCTGGGAACAGGCTGTGATTAAAAAGTGAGAGTTGGCTCGGGCAGAATGATTGGCACACGGTCCTGCCCACACAGGTAAGATGTTTTGGTTCAAATGTGTGTTTCCTCGACCTCAAAGCCAATCACTGGAAGCAAGGGGCGGGTGGTTACCCTCCCTGCTAGGTTGGTAGGATAAGGGATAAAATATACAAAGAGGAGGATCCAATCCGGTTGGAGCTAGTTCTAGTACTGGCCGGACGCATATGTTAAGTTACAGACTGATCCGGAGGTGTAAGCAGCAGAGGTGTACCCACATTCATTTAGTTTCCTCCACTGTGAAAGGCTGTGTTTTTCTTCTGTCTCTGCCGCACCACTTAAAGCAACAATGGGAAGAAGGAGCGCCACCAAAGTAAGTGAAAATGTGAAATAATGCTAAGTACACTCGGACTTTTTTTTTTTTAAAGTAACATTTTTTTAACGGTTTATTTACATTTCGCTACAATATATGTGTGTTACCACGGCATACGCTTTATAAATGTTCGCTACAGTTTGACCATGTGGCTGCATGAGGTCCACCGTTGCTGTGCTCAGGTCTGTCGTCTCTCCGCTGTTGATACAGAGAAGTGGCGCCTTTTTACTTAGTGCAGTGAAGCGTAACACACTTTTCTCATCGAACACTCGTGCAAATATGCACGGCTTTCCTTAATACTGCTACTTTGTGGATGCTTTGTTATAATGCACCGCTCATCCGACCGTGGTTTAATATTATTTAGTCCTACCGTGTGCAAACAAAGGGGTGTAACCACTGTCGATGAACAGGTTGCCTTTTGGGAGACATTTATTGCGCAATTGCCTCGGGATACTTGAACGGATCGGGGATTGCATGCATTACTAATTATGTAGGTATTGGCACTGAGTAAATCGAGTTATTTGCAACACACGGTGACCTCTGCCTGCGCCTTACTGTAACACTGATCATCCTGATCGTCATCCTGTGGCCGGAGGTGTAAAAATCGTTTCTTTGGAGGTGTCATGGCAGCTGATATATGTTTGGAAAGACGGCGACACATGTTGTGGTAGTCCGTAAAACCATGTCGACGGTTTTTTTTTAAACCGATTTGCCACAATAGAGGGGCATAAAGAGGATCATCGTGATTGATGAGCGTTTTTAGGAGCGCATCGTGAGGTGGGGGTCCCCTCTTCTTCCCCTTCCCGCTTTTCTCGGTTAAAAAGTAGCCACAGCACCATGCTTACTCAACAAAAAACATGCCTGTCTCGTGAATGATAAACAACAGTGTTCGGCGGGAAGAAACTAGAACTGGATGAACCTCTTTAACTCAGAAACTTCCCCACTTCTACGTTTCATAATTTCTTTGTGACTTGAGGGGAGGGAGAGTTGCCCATCCCCCTCTTTGCGCTACACACCCACTTTAGCTCAGTCATGAATGGCTCTTGTTTCTTTTGCATTTTTTTTAATTGATTTCTCCCTCTTTCCTCCACAGAAATCCGCAGAAGCAGCCACAGAGGTTAGTATGCACGTGTTTACCCATTTATTGCACCATACTGTCCTCGACACCCCAACTTTAACTGAAATGAACATTTTGTTCTACTTTTGATCAAGACAAAGAAAATGTCTCTGTTGGTTCAGACTGACTTTAAACATCATTTAGTGCATCCCAGTTATACTACTGCCAGTAAAAGACAAATCTTCTAGGGATGAAATATTGAATTAAATGGCTAAAATGCTGATATGATCCAATCCTGCTCTGCCCATTGCATGGAACAGCCACAAGGGGGCGCTGTTTAACATTCACCCCAAATCGTATTTCTTCTTTGGTCATTTTAATTCCCCTGTTTTTAAAAAAAATTATATTTTATACTATAAGGGATGTCATAGCATATTCTTTCTGGACTATGTATGTTTGTGCCATTTTACAACTATATTTTGTTTCAAATTGCACTATGCCTCACATTTAGCCATTTAAATTAAGCCTTTGCGGTCTTCAACATCTGAATTTGGTAATCAATAGAGTTCCCCGTTGAGTGCCTATTATCAACGTTTATTTTTAAAATATTTAGCAAGTAATAAGGATGTTTGCAGTTCATTGTGAGTTTTATACGCTTATTTGCATTAAACAATATTTTGATTAGTATATCAATTACTTACATCTTCTTTTTTGCCTTTTTTATATTTTAGCAGCCACTGAGAAAGTCTCAACGGTTGTCGGTGAAGGATACACCAGAAGAGAAACCAGAGAAGCCCGAAAAGACAAAGGTAATTACGAGACAAATCAAAAATCACTGTCTCCATTTCAAATGCACTGTTTCTCTATTCTCTATTGCATTCATTTCATGTTCCTTGATTGTTTTTTCTCATGGTAGGCACCTCCCAAGAACAAAAAGGCAGCCAAACCGGTAAAGGCCAAGCCAGAGGAGAAGAAGGAAGAAGAGGAGGAGGAGGAGGAAGAAGAGGCCACTCCTGCAGAAAACGGAGAGGCCAAAGCTGAGAAGGTATGACAGACTTGTGAAATTGTGAAATATAAGCAACATTCAAAGAGAAACTCGATAATAATGCATGTTTTTCTTCTCCATCCTCCAGCCCGCTGCAGCAGAGGAAGCAGAAGACGCAGAGGAAGCGGAAGAAGCAGATGAGGCAGAGGACAAGGACGACAAAGCTGAGGAAGCCGAGGAGGAAGACAAGGACACCGAGTAGCCGTGACACACCTAGACTAACTTGCCAGAGCCCCCCTGTACCTCGTTTCTTGTACAATGCAGAGACTATTTTTATCTACTATTTTCATAAGACAGTAATGTTTTTAGGCACGTGATTGCAGAAATGCATTTTTAAAGAAACAACTACAAATTTCATTCAGTTTCTTCTCAGTCGTTTTTTTTTTCGTTCCATTGTTTGTACTCTCTGGCTTCTTACTTTGCCTTTTTGTTAGGTTTGTAGTTTTCCTGCATGACATGATGCCTATATCAGGAATTTGATGTTCGGCTCCGGGAGAGTTTACCTGAGACATTCCCGAGGCGCTTTGAGGGATTTTTGTAACCTGTACTGTTTTTGGATTTAATACATCATCAAGTGTTGGTATGATTGAAGAGTTAAGTCAGTCTTGTTCATAATATTCACTTTAATCATGTTTACTAGTACTGGATTTTTATTTTTTCCAAATGCTGTCAGAAAAGGTACATGTGAGGATGGTTGGACACATCCATGCTCTCCGCTGTGCTCAATTCAAGAAGCATTACAAAGCTAATCGTGCGTGTTTTAGTTCATCCTATTAGGATTACTGTATTCACAACTCAGTCAACAAGATATATTCGCCACCTCTCTGTGGATATATTCTTTGTGGTTTTTTTGGGATTTATCTACCAATGTACAGTTTCCTCATTTTTTATAAAAATAAAAAAAACAAAAATACATTTTCTTTGTTATGAATGGTATGAAATGCCAAATAAAGTGGGAATTCCTGTAAACTGTTTCTCAACTATTTTGTGTCGGATTACATCATGTGATTGTTGCCTGTTGCAGATGTTCACCATGTCTAACCTGAAATTACTTTTTGAATTCACCACCAGGGAGAAGTATATCTAAAAAATATATATATATATGAGACCAATACTCTCAATGATAAGGTGACAGCTTTGCTCAAAACCAAAATTGTGAATATTTACATCTTATACATTCATATAGATTTCATTTACTGTTGAAATTCATAAGTAAACTTAAGTAAAAGTCCTGCATTCTGACCACATGTACTTAAAGTGTGAAAGTACAAACTATTTAACCCATACGTGAATTCAGCAAAATGCAACTCTGAATATACTGCAGCTGCAATATCTACACTGTGCACTCTAGTTGGAGCAAAACTGCATTAGTGTACTATGTTCAATGACAAATCTAAAATCTAATATGTTTAAAGAGTCATTCTGCATATTGAGTACTTGAGCATTTATACTGTAAGCATATATAGCAGCTATGTACTTCTACTAAAGTAGCATTGTGCATTCAGGACTTTTCACTTGTAATTGAGTATTTTCAAACCCTCTACTTATACTCAAGAAAAGGATGAGTACTTTGTGCACCTCTGATGTGAAGACTACAAACTAAAGTTTATGTATCATTTTTTTCATTTCATTTCAAACTAAATAATCAGATTGGTCCCTTGAGATCATAGATCAATTTTTCAAGGGAGACCTGCAGCATATACAGTTGGAAGAAAAAGTATGTGAACCCTTTGCAACTACCTGGATTTCTGCATAAATTAGTCATAAAATGTGTTCTGATCTTCATCTAAGTCACAACAATAGTCAAACACAGTCTGCTTAAGCTAAAACCACACAAACAATTATATTTGTTTATGTTTTTATTGAACACACCATGTAAACATTCACAGTGCAGGGTGGAAAAAGTATGTGAACCCTTGGATTTAATAACTGGTTGACCCTCCTTTGGCAGCAATAACCTCAACCAAACATTTCCTATAGTTGCATATCAGACCTGCACAACGGTCAGGAGGAATTTTGGACCATTCCTCTTTACAAAACTGTTTCAGTTCAGCAATATTCTTGGGATGTCTGGTGTGAATCGCTCTCTTGAGGTCATGCCACAGCATCTCAATTGGGTTGAGGTCAGGACTCTGACTGGGCCACTCCAGAAGGCCTATTTTCTTCTGTTGAAGCCATTCTGTTGTTGATTTACTTCTGTGCTTTGGGTCGTTGTCCTGTTGCATCACCCATCTTCTGTTGAGCTTCAATTGGTGGACAGATGGCCTTAAGTTCTCCAGCAAAATGTCTTGATAAACTTGAGAATTCATTTTTCCATCGATGATGGCAATCTGTCCAGGCCCTGAGGCAGCAAAGCAGCCCCAAACCATGATGCTCCCTCCACCATACTTCACAGTTGGGATGAGGTTTTGATGTTGGTGTGCTGTGCCTTTTTTTCTCCACACATAGCGTTGTGTGTTCCTTCCAAACAACTCAACTTTGGTTTCATCTGTCCACAGAATAT